CAATCCCAGCACTCAGAAGGCTGAGGCTGGAGGATCACCATGAGTTTGAGGCCAACCTGGGCTACATGGTGAGTTCAGGGCCAGCCTGAACTACAAAGGAGACCCTGCCTCAAAAAACAAAAAACAACAACAAAAAAAGAAAATCAAGGGCTGGGGATTTAGCTCAGTGGTTCCAGTGCCTGTCTTGTAAGCACAAGGTCCTGAGTTCGAACCCCAGTACCAAAAAAACCCCCCAAAATCAAGACTCAGATCATCCGTTAAAGAATTTTAAATAGCAGTATAAAAAAGGGACAAGAAGCCAGACATAGTGGTGCATGCCTATAATCCTAGCTACTGGAAGGCTGGGGCAGGGAGACAGCAGGTTTGAGATCAGGACAGGCACCTTAGCAAGATGCTCTCACAAAAATAAAAATAAATAAAATTAATTTTTAAAGAGAGGGAGCTGAAGGGGCCAGAGATACAGCTCAGTGACTCCATGCCTGCCTTGCAAGCACAAGGTCCTGAGTTGGATCCCGGGTACTGAAAAAAAAAAAAGAGGGAGCTGAAGACATATTCTCTTTCCCTGAGAATAAGATCTAGCCAGAAAATAATCTGCCTTGAAAACTAGAGATCAAAAACGTTGTCAGTATTCTGTTGCTCAGTGCCTTCTCTGTGAGGCAGGGAAGGCAAAGATAGGCTCACGGGGCTGGCATTTTTGATCTCTAGTTTTCAGGACTGATTCTTTTCCAGCTAGGTCTTATTTTTGGAGACACACATTAGTTCAGTACTCCGTGGGTTCAATTCCCAGTACCAGGAAAAAAAAAATGAAGCACATGAGCAATCAGAAGAAGCAAAGAAGCTCATGAAATCAGTGACAAGGGGAGGAAAAAAAGTCAAAGGTTCTTAACCCTCGAGAGTTCTACACTTCAGGTACACAAAGATTCACAAAGAGGAGCACAGTAAGGAAGGAGTCATGAATATACCACATACATAGGAGAAATATGACTAGAAAGAAAAAGGAAAAATTAACTGGGCAGCTAAAAGTGCTATGGCTCTTTGTTTTACGATGAGAAAGGCAATAGTAAGTCTCATGGCTTAAAGAAAAGGTCCATAAAAAGGAATAAAGATGTCAAAAAGGAAAGAGAAGTGTAGAAACCAAGGTTCTGACAGACGAGGCAAGGAATGAGTTTCAAAGTACAATAAAACAAACAGGCTTTAGGGACAAGAGACCTTGCCAGCTCCAGGGAAAGATGGTTACATGATGTGTCCAGACAGCAGTATGCTTAGGTTAAAATAAAGGACTCAGACTCAAACTTTTCAAAGATGGAGAGGTAGAGAAACAAAAGTGGTAAATAAGAGAAATTATATACAGTAAACCTCATCTAAAATAACCTCGCAAGCAGACGGTCCCAAGTTCGATTCCCAGTACCAAAAAAAAATAAAATAAAAGACATTAATAAAAGGTCAACTCTGAATTGTTCTAGTCTCTTAACAGTACTGCACTTGCAAACCAGAAACAGATTAAATATTCAGTCTGAAAAACTAGTGAGATGCAGGCTGAGGTTGTAGCTCAGTGGTAGAGCCCTTGCCTAGCATGCACAAGCCCCTGGGCTCAGCATCACACACAAAAAAGGGAATTCAAGAGATGAGAACAACAAAAGATCTGGAAATGTATGTGTCCAACAAGACAAAACAGGCAGCAGTGAAGCAGTTCACGACACATGAAATATGAACTCAACAAGTAAATTCTGCACTCTGAAAGACCAGATTTATGTAGCCAGTCATTAACAGACACAAGACCGACAGCAACTGAGGTGTTAAACAAGCCTATCTCCATGAAATCTTACTGATGTAATATTTTCCTCAGAAATAAAGATCTGACAAAAACCCTTCATTAAGTTCTGCTTCTTAGAATGACACCAGCTGACAAATGAAAAACAATGAAAACATGCATAATTTTTGGCTATTAATAGAAGCACTGTTCCAGGTAGGTGTGGTGGCACATTCCTGTAACCCCAGCACTTAGGAGGCTGAGGTGGGATGATCCCTGTGAGTTCCAGGTCAGCCTAGCATACATAGTGAGTTGAAGGCCAGTCTGAACTACACAGTGAGGACCTTGTCCCCAAAAAAACCAAATAAATAAATAAATAGGCAAAATATCTGAAATCAGAGAACTAGGGTTTAAGTCTCAAATAACATCATTCTTTCTACCCCTTATTTCCCCATCAAGAAAATGGTAGTAATAATAATAGCAAATAAAAAGGAATGACAACAGCAGTAGTTAAGATGTTTCTCACTGCTAATGTTTCAGGTACAGATCTAACTATTTCACATGCATTAACTCATTTAACCCTTAATCTTAGGGAGGATTTTATCCCCATTTTTCTTATTCGAAAACCAAGACACAGTTTAGATCAGCTGCTCAGAATTTCAACTATTATACAGTATAAGCAAAATTTCAGCCTGTGCATTCTGACCGTAGAGCCCGTATTACTATATTCTCTTGTCTCTATGGGTAAAATGTCCCTCTGTGGGTGAGTGTGCACACGTGCTCATCCTCCTGCTGAATACCAAGTGTTAAGATGCAATAATCCAAACAAAATCCTAAATCATTCATCTAAAATATTCAGCATTCCACAAATACATGGGCCTTGTTCTCAAAAAGCAGAGTGGACACATAAGAGGTAATTACATGATATGAACAAAATATATATCCTGCTTTTCTACGTGAGCTGAGGTAGGCAGTATGATTAGCGAAACATGAATAAAGAGCTTTCAGAAATCATCAAATGAGCCTCGAAAAATAACAGCACTAAATTCGAAAGGCTAAAAACTGAGCCAGAAAGAGATCAGTACAATTCTTTGTAAAGTAAAGCTTTCTGAACAATCATGAAGCTTAAAAAAAAGTTCCAGACAATAGTCTTTTCAGAGACCAACAAATTTCATATATGCACATCACAGGAAGGATTATCTCTTCCAAGAAAAGCTTCTAAACCACATTTAACTATTGTAATAAAGTTGTTATTTACTAAACATCTATTATTTACAAAATATTGTTCTAAGCATGTCAAAGGTATCGACTTCTTGCCTCCTCACAAGAACATAAAGTAAGTCTTACTATCACCCCCGTTTTTAGATACGGAAATGTGGCGAAGTGGAGCCAAGAAACTCGCCCAAGTTGACTGAGTGAGTGGCAGGGCCAGGCTGTCAAGCCCAGTTTATCTCCAGGATTTGTACTATGCTTCCTCTAATAGGAAACCGAGCAACAAAACAAGGATTCAGAAGAATTATCCAACTGTATTTGGTAACAAGGAGGAAGTACTTTTATTCTCCTAAGCATCTAGTAATTACTGTATCTAGAGCAGTTCTCTCGCAGGCTTTTCCTCCAAGTTAGGTCTGCACGATCTCCCTGGACAGAGCCTGGGCTCCCCTGGCTTCAATTACAGCCTATTTGCTGATGATTCCCAAATCTAAATCTCTAGCCCAGTCTCTCTTCGGTGCCTTAAATTTACACCAATAACCAAACAGATGATTCTTTTTAAGCGATTCATAAGCCCCTCAAAATCAACATGTCCAAATCGGAATCATTTCCCTCGCAGCTCATTCACCACTCTCAAACCTCTTCTGTTGGCCTCAGCAACCACCTCCTCATCCACCTGCCTCACCTTCCACAGCCGACCACGTCTACCTCCTGAGTCTCTCTACTCAGCGCAGCGCTATGCCTACATTTTATAACTTTATAAGACTATCTTTATTTGCACTTCGGGCTGTCTTGCACAATTAATTATCCTTTTTTCTTGTGGTTGGTCCTGTCCCATCTGATGACAAACTCCATCAGTGGAAAACAGACATTGTATAGGCTGCATCTCTCACTGTTGTGTGTACTTATTTAAATAACACAATGTGTTCAGAGATAAACTTTGGTTCTATTAAAGAGAAATTAGTATCAAAAATGTGTCAATATATCATTTTAAAATGGCATTACCTCAGAAAACCCAATTACTTTACAAAAGAAAAAAGCAGTAATTTCCTCGGTTCTACTAATTATTACTAGCATTCAGTGACAGCCAGGGTAGGCCGCATTGCTATGCACTTTATACAAATGAGGTGATTTAATGTTCACACCAACGCTATGAGCGGGGTACTGTTATGTCCTCACTTTTCAGATAAGGAAACTAACACTTAAGGGGGTTTCAACGACTTGGCCAAGCTCCCAAGTTAGAAAATAGAATTTAAGCTCATGTCAGAGTCTGACAGAGCCTTTGCTCTATTGGCTCTAAGGAGAAAATGTTTAAAAGTCAAAAAGAAACAAAAGGTACCAAAGCTTTTATCGAAGAAGTTAGTTTTAAATGAACAAGGTGTCAAAAGAGCTAAACGATATGGGGGAGGGGAGCAGTTACTAAAGATCTTTTTTGGTAGGTCCAGAACTGTTCAAGAAACGTCCACAGACTGAAAAGATTCAGAGCCATAGAAACACAATCGCTTTAAATACACATGTATTTCATTTCAATGTTTTCTTTCTTAGAATATCACAATCCGAAGAAAGAGGGTTTAGCTGAGACCAAAACTGTCCCGTGCCTTTTTTAACTCCGCTCCAACACTCACTGCTTCCCATCTCGAGGTTTGGCTTTGGGGTGACCAGGGACTCCCGCCCACGACGCCCGAGCAGCGGGGAGGGGGCTCTGCCACCCCGCTTCCGGCCCGCGGGCCCCGCCCCCGGGTCCCCCGACCCCGACCCCGACCCCGCCCGAGCTTTCGGGTCCCGGCTCCCGCACCCCGCGTCCCTCCTCTCGTCCCCTGCCGCGGCCCGCGAGGCTTGGGGGACCCGCTCCGCCGGGGAGGGGGCGCGGGCGCCAGAGGGGCGGGCAGCGGGGACACAAAGACGCCGCGCCGCCCCCGCCCCCGCCCCCGCCACGTCCCTCCTTGGCCGGCTCCTGGCCGCGCCAGGCCTCGCGCCCCGCACCCGAGCGCGCCCGCCCCGAGCCCACCCCGCGCCCACCCCCGGCCCCCGCCGCACGGACCTGCTGATCTTCTGGGCGAAGGCGCGGCGCTCGGCCATGGCGCGGCGCGGCTCCTCCGTCCCTCCGTCCCTCCCTCCGTCCGTCCTCCGCGTCCCCGCTCCCGGGTTCCGCCCGCGCGCGCCTCAGGACCGGGCTGGGCCGGCGCCGGCCCGACCGCCGTAAAGCTCCGCGGAGGCGCGCGGGGGCGGGGCTCCGGGAAGGGCGGGGCGCGCTCCCGGGGGAGGGGGAGGGGAGGACGCGGCGCCCCGGTCCCGCGCGCCTCAGCCCCGCGTCCCCGCGGCCTCCTGCGGCACCGGGCGGGCTGGAGACCTCGCCCTGCAGGCGGCTGCCGCGCCTCCCCGCGGGACGTGGTCCCCTCAGCCTGAAGCCACGGGCCGGCCGGGTGCACGGGGACGAGCCCGTCCCCGAGGGGCCGCCTTCCCTCTGAGGCCCCTCGCTCCTCAGCCCGTTGCTCCTTTGGGGTACAGATGCAGGTCCAGGTCTCTGCACGTGCTGACCTCTGCCCATAACCTGTGCGCCCCTGAAACCGCCTTTGCCACAGCAGCCAGGGCGCGGAGGCGCAGAGCTCCGGCTCTTCCTGTTCTGCTGGGATCCGAATGTTTCCGCGGCCGGACTCCCAGCGCATGCTTTCTGGTCACTGAAAAGGTGAACCTGGGAGGCATACCTTGGCTTGTTGTGGCACCTTTCGTCTAACGGACTGCAGGAATTTGGTCTGGGCAGTGATAGTGTGACTTTATTCCCTGCGTGTCCCCGCCAAACCTGTAGCCTGGGCCACCAGGTCTCTTGCCCAGTGACAGTCGCCGTGAGAGCCTGCTGGCCCAGGCCTCTAGCTTCAGTCTCGGGCTCTCCTCTGGTGGGAGACCGAGTTTATTCTTGCAGCAGTGCTCATCCCAGTAAGACATTGCTCTTAAAACACTTGTTTACAGAGGAGGAAAGATGGTTTGTTCAAAGAGAACATGTATTTAGCGTCTGCCTAAGTGTAGAGCTCACTCGGACTTGGCAAAGGTGAACTAAATACAGCCCTGCTTTTAGAAAGTTTGAGTTCATCAACAATGATAAGCAGCTACTCAGAGAGCTGTAGGTGGAGACCAACACTGTGCCGGACCTTTAAGACCCTCCATAATGGGCCCATATATTCTGCCATTTCCTTGCTGTGTGATCTTGGGCAAGTTACTGAACCTTATCTTAAAATGGAGGAAATAATGGTGCCTACTTGCAAGGGTGTTGTGAAGATTCATTGAGCTACTCATATAAATTTCTTAGAACGGCCTGGCACATGATGAGTACTAATGGATTCACTGCTGTTATTTTATTGCTGTTATTATCACTATTCATCCTGCACTTCAACTTCTCCGGGGTGCTTGATAGCTCTGAATCATTCCTCTGCTCTCATGCTCCAGCCAGACATCCTAGGCCTTTATCTCTGCTCGCAAGCATCTTTTCAGTACTCTCTTAGAGACTGACCACATTTTGCTTTGAATGGGTCTTTGTATACATGCCTCGCTGGCTGCCAAAGTGTCTGAAAGGACATTGCATGCACTGTGACGCTCAACTGGAAGCATTTCCAGGAGGAGGAGGACAAGTAGGATGAATCCATACACTGGGGAACAGAACTGAGACCACTCCAAGGGGAGACGGTAGCCCCTAGCTCTGCAGAAGAGCTGCAATCACTGCCAAAGTGGGTGGTATCTGTAGATGACCAGCATAGCATCCATGCCCCCCACAGAACCACAACTCACACATGCTCCACTGTCCTCTGGAGGGGCTGATGGCCTCCCTCCCAGTTTCAAAGGTGAGCACGGGACCAGGGCCTGGCCAAGCGGACCAGCACATCCTCCAGCTTCTGAGTCTGGTTTAGGGTGAGGCACGTGAATCAAGCCTGTTGAGGCCCAATCCGAACTAAAAATGGCCTTTACAACCCAGGGAACGCCATCTAAAGAATGAAAACCTACCTGAGCGGGATGTCAAACAGCAGGGAGGACAGCAAAAAACTGAAGAGGAGCTCCTTGTGACATGACAGGAGCCTTGGACTTTGCCAGATCTTTTGGTTTTTTAGTTGGGTAGTGTTATCAGGGTTCAGTAGAGGAACAGATTTAATATAAATATATGTGTGATTATATAAAGGGTTTACAAAGTAGGCTCGCAATGCCTGCCTATAAAGTCAGTGGAAGGAAGCCAAATGGCCGACTGTGTTCTAGAGAGCTAGAGGACCCAGTTGAAAGTTGAAGGCCTGGAGCTGTGAGTCCTCATAAGAAAACCAAAGGGTCTGCCTTGGATGGCTGAAGGGCAAATGTCCAAAAGCAATGGCAAAGCCCGGATCTCCTTCAAAGAAACAAAAGTGGGGAGACTTCCTTCTTCTCTCCCTTTTTATTCCATCCAAGCTACAAGCCTATTTAATCAGGGCCACCCACAGGGTGGGGGTGTCTCCCCTCTTCAGATTGCAGTTTACAAGTCAAGCATTCGGACACACCCAGAACCACCCCCTACTAATCTGCTAGATGTTTCTTAATCCATCCCAGTTGGCACCACAATTAACGATCATGTTTGGTTTGGGTTTTGTTTTTCTTAAACTAGCTGGAGTTGGGCTTTCTGTCACTGACAAATGGAAGAGTCTTAAGTGATACAGACCTCCATTTCCACTGACGTCCATTAAATACCTACGTTAGGAGGCCCTGGAGATACAGTGATAATAAAAACGTGTTCATGTCCTCAAAGAATTTAAGAGTTTGGTGGAAGAGATAAGTTAGTAAACAGTTATGTTAAGTGTTGAGACAGGAAAACTTTAGGAAGCTATGAAAGTTCCATATAACATCAGTCTTGGCAGGGAGGTCTGTTTGCTTTATTCAGTCAGCTTAAATGTTAAGCTCATCCAAAATGCCCTGGGAAAAAAAGGCCCAGAGTAATGTTTGATCAACTATCTGGGTACCCTGTGGCCCAGTCAAGTTGACAGGTAAAATTAACCATTATATAAACCAACTCAAAGACAACATGTTGAATTTGTAGGCTTAAAGAAAACAAATAAAAGTAAAAAAGTAAAATAAAAGACATTTGAGACAGTTGGCAAATTCCAATCACTGGCTGGTTGTTAAGAATTTACATTTTCACGACATCTTCTGTTTGCTCCTCCAAATCCACTGTCCACCCCATTCTCTCCTCCAGAAGCCTCGCCTATATGGCAGAACTCAGCAGGACCTCATGCCCTCTAGTCCTAGCCAGAGAACACAGAAACACAGGGCAGAGGAGAGTCACGTCAGGATGCTATGCTGGCCCCTCCCTGGGCACAGCCATCTGTTGTGTGCTGCTGTCTCTAACCCAAAGACCACTGATTCCCACAGAGTAGCCAACTCCATGGACTTTCTTCTCCCAGGCTTCAGAAGTCACACACTCACCTGGACCCAGAGATGGCACCCACCTAACAGCCGCTAGCCCTAGGTAATGGTACTCTATCTATGGCTGCCTGTGCCCACGCCCTTTTAAATAAACCCTCCTAATATTGTCCCCTTTGAATGACCCTGTTTCCTGTTGATACTGTGGTTTATCTGTAATAGGCATATTGTGGCTATGCAAAGAGAAGAGAAAAAGCAAGCCATTTATTCTTGGAGATACACACTAAAGTATTTATGAGTGAAATGGTTTGAGATCTGGCATTTGCTTTAAAACTGAACTAACATGGGCTTAAGTTGAAAATGGGAACGTGGATGTTCACTAAGTCATTCTAATTTTTTAAAAAAGGACCCCAAATGAGTATGATACCAGAAAGGAGAAGACAACTTACTGATTAGAGAAGAAAGAGTGTTGAAAGCTCAAAGACTGAAGATGATCCAAGCAACCAAGGGCTAAGGAAACAACCAAGTAGAGAAAGCTAGTCTTTTTTTTTTTTTTTTTTTTTTGGTACCGGGAATCGAACTCAGGTCCTTGCACTTGTGAGGCAGGTGGCGGCACCACTGAGCTAAATCTCTGGCCCTAAGCAAGTAGAGAAAGTGGGCCCATGGTCAGCCTGGAACCGATTCCACCTTACCCTATTGTGCTGTTATTTCACTGCACTGAGCTAAGAACTGAAACCTGCTGGGCATTATGGGTCCCAGACCGGGACAGAGCTGAGCCCAGGATTCTTTAGGAGCAGCAGGTTAGATGTGAGATAAGCAGGTCTGACACGAAAGAAAGAAGCACCTAACTTGACACAAGCTGCAGAGTCATGGAAAGTTTCTTTCAGGTAAGATTATATGTCAGTTGTGGGGAAGGGCTTAAAGGAGAGAGAAAATGTGAACACACAAGAAAGACACTTTTGATAACCTCGTAAAGAAAGAAGCAGATCTCATCCACTGATCAGCAGGGAAGACAATGGAAAACCAGCCGGTGTAGAGGTGGAAATGAGAGATGCTGACGGGGCCACGTCGCTATAGCATTCCACTGTCTCACTGAATATAATGAGCTAAAGCCAGGGTGTGGGTTTCTGTCACTGCACGACCAAGGCCGACAATCTCGTTTGTCACACAGGGTAACCATCAAGGGACCAGCTGTCCTATCTGAAGTCCTGCCCATGTGGGAGGGAGGGCCTTCACAGAACATGTGTGCAGGGACAGGAATCTCAGCCCATCTCGGAGCTCTGCCTACCACGACCAGGGCTGCGTGAGCATCTTGGGTGGGAGGAGTCAGGGCTAGAACTGGTTCCATCTGTGAACTAAGGGAACTTGGAACAGGGCCGGTGGCAATATTAAACGCTCAGCGGGAGACAGGGAAAGCCAAGCTGGGGTGCTGAAAACCACACTCACTCTGGCTAAGGTTGAAGCAGGGGCCTGGGAATCAGAAAAGGTGAGGTTTTAGTTCTGGGTCAGCCACAATCTTACTATGTGACTGAGCAAATTACAAGCTTCTGGGTCTTTCTTCTCCCAGCTATAAAATAAAGGGGGTAACACCAGATGATTCCTAAGGTAAACAAAAATTCTCTGTAATCTACATCCTGTGGCAGTGAGACAAATATGAAAAGGAATTGTAGGATATTCTTTAGCTAAATATTTTAAAGTGTTGTACAACATGTCTGTGTGGGCATTGCTTAGGTGCAGCCTTGGTTAAAGGGAAGAAAGGTAGATGATTACCCCTGAATACTGCCAGACGCATAATTAGGTGATGCTGA